ATTCCGATTAAAATTGGTGGAGCGTTTAATCGGATCTCCCAAACTCTCGAACAAAGAAAATCTCACGTGTATGTAGATGAGAATTTCGGCCAACACAAGCTTGTAGAAGAGTATGGGACTTGGTGTATATATAGGCTCCATTAGGGACCTTAAGGATGTGCTAAATATGGGCTTATTCTATTAGGCCTAGGACTCCTAATTCCAATCCAATACTAACTCAATCTAGGAAGGAGATCTCCTACTAATCTCTCTCTTCTAGAAGACTCCTAAGTCTCCTAACACTAGAGAAGATCCTTGTAGGAATTTCTTTTCCTAATTAAATTAATAAACATGGAATAGAATTAAATCCTAATTTAGGAAACCTAATTTTACTCCAATTTATTAATATAATGTAGGAAATATATTTCCCACTAATCTTCATCTTCTAGAAGACTCCCAAGTCTCCTAATCCCAAGAGAAGATTCTAGTAGAAATTTTATTCTCCTAATTAACACTGTTCTAAAAGTCGGCCTAGGCGGCCGCCTAGGCGGTACCCGGGCGCCTCCGATTTGCACAAATCGGCAAAAAAAATCGGCCAGGCGCCTAGGCGGCCCTAGGCGCTCCTAGGCGGCCTTGGCGGGCTCAGCGGCCAGGCAGTTAGGCGGCGCCTAGGCGGGCGTAGGCGGACCTAGGCGCTCCTAGGCGGGCTCGGCGGTAGTTTTTCAGTTTTTTCTTTTTTTTTTTAAATACTAATTACATTATTTTGTGCTTATGTTTTCTTTAAAATATATTAATATTATTATTTGGACTTAGGTGTGTCGATTTATTATAAGTTGGGATACTTTTATTTTGTTAGTAGTTAAATAAATACAAAATAAGGTATTTAATATTGATTTCTAGGCCCCGACTAGGCGCCGCCTAGGCGCTCTAGGCGCTAGGCGCTGGTCGAGCGCCTAGCGACTTTTAGAACACTGCTAATTAATTAATCAATATGGAATAAAATTAATTCCTATTTAATGGAATTAAATAA